AATAATATTAATAAATAAAATTGAAAATAATATAACTTTACTATTATTTTACTTTACTATTAACTTACTAACTGTATAATTTTATTATTAGTATTATTCGTCTTTAGTAATATTTTCAATTTGCATTATTGATTTATTGATTAAATTTCTTTATATAATACTTTTTTTGTATAATTTCTTTGTATACTTTGAGGAGTCATAGTTGATATAATTAACATAAGATAATAAATATCTCTTTCGAAGAGAAAGATATCTCATCAATATACTTTGTTGGTAGTGGAATATTTGTGAGAAAGATGAAGCATTTAGAGAAATTTTTTAAGATATATTTTTTTAAAGAAGATTCTTATAATAAATCAAGATTATTAATAATTAATTTACGAATGCAAAAAGAACTCAGCAATTCGCATCAGCTTTTTTTCAGAAAGCTGCGTTATGAATTTTAGAATCAAAATCATGCATTAATGATTTTAACTTATAGATTAATGCTAGAAGTTATGTAAATATAAGACAAAATATGTCATATAATTTTCCAAATGCATATTGCTTAAAGCAATGCATATTGCTTAAGATATCTAAAGACGTCTTTTAGACATTTTATACAATATAAATGTTATCTTGATTATTAAATGTTATTATTGAAAAATGTAATGTATTATTTTTAAAAATTTTGAATGCTTAAAAATTTATAAAAGATTATATATATATGTGAAGATTATTAACTAATTATTATTGAAGTTAAATTATTGTTATATTTTGATATTTTTTTAACTAATTTCGAATTTGCGAACAGCTTTCTTCATTCGCCGTTAAATGAAATAGGTATTTTTTGATAGGAAGATGTACATATATATTATATATACTTTCTTACAAATTTTCTTTTAAATCTTTATTTCGAACATGTAGAGACTAATTTTTTTTCTATATCAATGTACAAGCTGACTGAATTGTTAGATAAAATTGTGAGAGAAAATTTGCGTGTATTTTATTTTTTTTATCTTTTTCATCTATTCAACTTAAATATATGTATCGATATTAATAATCTTTCCATTTTCTTTGCAGACGACTGTCCAAACTGCGTGGACGAACATAGTAGCAGCTTGGCGGCTTCAAGATGGACGATGCCTTTACTGAAGCTGGGCGAGAAGAGATACTACCTGGGGATCTTCTTCAAGGTATCGCTCCTGCCAGTTACGCTGATTTATCTGACCGAACCGTCGACCCGACCCGGGTCTTGGACTTTATCAAATTATTTCCGAGCTCGTAACTTTCCGGCTTTGCTGTCACGGACGGTTTTACGGTGCATCGAATGCCGGGAACCAGGATAGTAATAAGGGTCTTTTCGGATAACAATGACCCTGTGTTAGTTGCAGCAGAGAATCTCACGTGATGAAAGAAGTAAAACACATAGAAAAGAAACGAAACATTTGGCACGTAAAAGAAAATTGAAAGAATTCCAAGCAAAAGGGATTTCAAATTGTAAATGCCAAACTTATTATTATAAATAATGTAAATTATATGAGCAAAAAATCAAAATTTTCTAGTTATACATATATCGATATTATACATATATGTTTAAATAATAGTGACGTTTTCTTATTAAAATCTCATCTGACATTTAACGCAAAGTTCTTGTTTGTTTTAATTATAAATGTTAAATGATACCGACACAAGAGAGAAAGAAATAACATATTGTATGTATCTATTTTAATTAATTATTTATATAAAAATACAAGAGAGAGAATTATTTTCTATAATAAATTCGTCAAAATAACATTATATTGGGTTGTCCGGAAAGTTCGTGCCGCAAAAGATTTAAATTTAATAAATGAAATTAAAAATTTAAATCTTCTGCGTTTCAATTTTCCTTCAAAATCGGACGAACTTTCCGAACAACCCAATAGATTCTTTTATGAAATTTGTGACAGTTTGAAGTTGAATGCGTATTTTCTGTCTCGAGAATTTTGCAGGTAATGCTGATCTAATGCATGTCTTTCGAGAGCGTCATTCCTGACGTGTCCGCACGCGAACACAATCATATCGATTAGAGACGCCCTTATTACGGCTTCCCGAATAGTCTAGGCGCTTTTATTGACTCACGTGCTATTAACACGGATTTCGTAATTCCATCGCTGCTGTGGATCCGGCCGGAACGACCTCGCTAGAGATGGATGGTAGTGACGTAAAGGCGTTCGTTAATCGGGCTTTTCGCAACAAAAGCGTGAAGAGGAAAGAAGTGGAAATTCGGTCCTTCTCTTTTGGTCCTCCCTTTAATCGGATCATCAAAGACGAGTCCTCTTTGTTTCGCAAGCAAATAATGGACGGTGCTCCATTAATCGAGACCTTGCAAAACAACTTTGCTCGTTGCCGGGCAATGACCGACTTTTCCACTAAATTTTGTGGTTCTCCTGATGACAGAGAATGCCTCTCTCTTCAGTGAAGAACTTATTTAAGTTAAGAAAGGAGACAGTTGGGGGTGAAAATCAAGTTCTAGATTGCAAACATACCACTTGTTCTCTTGCTGCTCCAATTAATCCATCTGTTTGACTTGTGGCGAGATAAGTATCCTTTATGCATGTCTTTGATGGACTAAAATGTATCGATCCTACTGAATTATAAATCATTCGGGTCATTAATTGATCCATTAAAGGCATTCTATATTTATTTGTAATTCTATATGTTGATGTCTCTACTAATTTTTGAATCCTAAACGATTTTAAATGATAAAATATTTTACATTTAGTAATGTCTTCTATTTTTATATAATAAGGAATTAGAAATAAAGTTCATTATTTGTAATACTTATCATGAAAAGAAAAAAAACGTATTTAAAATTATAAAGACACAGAAAATTAGATTAATTGTTAAAAAGTAGTTCTACTATTTTTTTTTAAGTATATTATAATAGTGACTCTTAAGGTGACCCTACACGGTCAATAATACTCAGTATAATATTCAATTATAATAGTATAATTAATAATATTTATCAATATAATATTAATAATATTTATCAATATAATATTAAATTAGTAATACTAGTATCAAGTATGTATCAATATTTTTAATATTTCTATAACTTTACATATTATTGATAATATATTTCATTTTAATTTTACATACGTTATCTATTACATACTGTGACATACTGTGACATGAATCCTAGTAAAGCGATACTAATATTCGAGAATCAAAATCCAGATCGTCCTCAATATTCTACTCTCAATCCATCAACATTAACCGCGCATCAATAATATTGTCAATATTTGTTAATACTGATACTATTATTGACCATATAAGGTCACCTTTATTTAATAAACGAGAACATTCAATAAACGCTGCTTTTTTGCAATCTATATATTTTTAATATAATCATACTGACATAATTATTATTTTTAGCAGCTTAATATCAGTCCCCAATTTGTCTTGTTTTTTTTTTGTCAGAAAAAAACAAATTTAGAGAAGACAAATGTTTCGATTTTTTAATTACTTTCTCTTTAATCTTTATTTTCTTTCGTTACGCGGTATGTTCTGAAACAGTATTCGGAACCGAAAACCTAATAGCGTGCCACTGATCGTCACGTACGATTGCTGTTTCGTTTAGGGAGGATAGACCGAGCTTAAGCGAAGCCATCGTGCACGAGTAACGACGAGTTCGTGCGGCGTTTCGTGGCGGCGCAGGAGAGCGTATACGCTGCGAGATTCGAGCGGAAAGGGAATGCAGCGGTAATGCAACTCCGTCGACACGTCGGGCCGCTCCCGTGCAATCGCGACGGCGCTCTATTTATTGCGCTTTATTTGCATTCCCAGCAGGTTACACTCGATTTTTCGCGTCCTTCGCGTTCCACCTTGCCTCATCGTACACAGACGAATCGGTGAAAGAGCAACGACAGAACAGCGACGAAATTTGGTAGCGTTGACATTGACGGAGTGAAAGTCAATATTTATCATGCTCTTAAATAAATATTTTATAAACAGCTAAATGTGTAAGTGAAAGATGTATACGATATATATGCCATACGCAGATATTGGAACAACAAATAATAATAATAAAGTGGATTGCTAAAAAAAATTATTGCAATAATAATGTTATAAGAATAAACATAGATAATAAAAAGTTTATAGCGGATCCAAAAGTATGTTATAATTATGATGGTGAAATGAAAATTTAAAAAATGGATCTTATAAACATTAGAATTCCTTTTTTTAAAAAGAATTAAAAATTTTTTTTTTTTTGAGAATTATCTTATAGTTTTTAATTTCTTAATTAGTCATTAAACACTAATTGAAATTATTAATTAAAATAAATTAATTAAAATTTAATTATATGTACTCATACATTAACTTTGAGTTTAGTATCTATTAACATGGAGATCATTTTGCAGTTAAAACAAATAATTTACATAAGCATTAGCTACCAACGGTGTTAATTACCGACGATGTTAATTTGAACAAACTTTAATTAGCGTAGTGTATAAGATTCGAAAAGATTCATTAAGTTCTACGGAACAAGTAGAATATGCAAAATTCTCTCAAAGTCGCGATAATCACTTTTCTTAAATATTCTGCTTATGTAAAAGCAATATATGCTTAGATTTGTGCGATTTTCATAATAAATTTTCTTTACTTTAATATTTATGAAATGCATATTTAAAAAATCCTTTAATGATAAAAAGTAATAATAAAAAAAATATTTGCATGTCACATCCGATAAGTTTGAATTTATTATTGTAATATCATTATTGTGAAATTTTGTCTAACTTGGCAATTTATCAAAATATACAAATTGCACCTCATATATATTTTGCAGAAGTATAGCTGCTATGTATATATGTGTTTCATAATAGTTGTCGTTCTCAAGAATTCCAAGTGGATAACCCAATCTTTCAGTAAACATGTATTATGCATTCTTAAAAATGTAAATATGTCAATAAGAAATTTTGAGAATCACAAATAGAACCTCGTAGATCTACTACGTTCTATGATTTCCTATCACAGTTCGATTTTGTGATTATTTATTATTGCAAAGAAGAATGCGTTATATTGTGTTATATAATATGCATGTTATATAATGTAATATTATATGCATATTATATGCATTATTAAGGATGCTGTAATATGAAGAAAGCACATGTACGATGTATGATGGTCGAGACCATCTTTGCACTTTAATGTTTCGCAGCGACGAAACATCGCAAGGGAATTCGTAACGATCGTAAAAAACTGCCAATGAAGTCAGAGGTGTTAGTACTTCTGCAACGTACTACGGTCATAAAAATCACATAATGTAGTGTGAATGACCGAATCGAAGTCACACAGCCGATACGTTGTGTAATATTGAAATGTCGAAGTACGTTCAACATTCAGGTTTTTTCAAGCGCATAAAATATTGCGATGTGCAGGTTAAAAATATCTATGCTAAGCTTAGCTAAACATAAGATATACATATGTATACGTGATTGTTTTGGAAAACGATGGAAGATCAATTTTAAATTCAGGACATTTAAAAAAGTTTGGAATATTCTTTTGTCTGTTACTGAAAATTTTAATTCATTGAGGAAGACTCATTTTTTTTTCTCTCTTAACAGTAATATTTCTATTATAATTTAAAACAAAGTTCATATTAAAAACATTATTATTAGCATATCTTTTCCCTTATATTCAGAATTTTTAGTATAATGTAGTTTATTTTATAGAATATATATATTACCAAATAAAAGTCTTTGCATTTAATGATTGAATTATATCACAATATTAGTAGTTTTAATTATCCATGAGAAAAATTCATTCTATTTATTTCCATATTTTAATGCAATAATATAGTATATATATATTATTGACACATTATAAATAATTTCGTTAGTAATATGTTAGTAATATGTTAGTAATATTCCAAACAAGTTCTCGAATATAATCTGTCGAAATCGATACCAGAATGGTGATTATATAACTTTAGTGTGAATATTAATGTGCCCCTACAAACTGTATGCTGTTAATTATTAATACCGACCAATCTGCTATAATCAATGATGATCACGAATGTTAAATATAAATGTTAATGACAGCTTATCTCTATCATAATTTGATTACACATAATTTACCAACAGTTCAAATGTTGCTCTTTTGTTATAATTATTGTGGTGTTTAATATATAACATTTAGGTCATTGCTTTAGATCAAATTTATTTCTCATAGTATTCCTTTTTATATAATTATCATTTATGGCGAATTAATCCGCTATTTAGCATTATAAATAATTTATAAATAATTTATAAATTATTTATATATAATACTAGCTACTAGGCGTATAGTAGTATATTTTACCACAAATATTTAATGTACATCGATATTTTATGCAAAATATCTTGTACAATTAATGGCGTTTTACCAAAAAAAAAGAATGTTAGAGTAAAGTATTACCATTCCTTTTTTGCATTACAGGCAAACTGGTATAGAGCTTCGCAATATTGTCGTTATCACGGGATGCATCTGGCGAGTATAGCCTCACAAGAGGAGAACGATAGACTTGAAAAGCATATCAAGGATTTCGGTCTCGGTCACGAGCATTTTTGGACTTCTGGTACCGATCAGGCTGAGGAGGGAACTTTTTTCTGGATGGCTAATGGTAGGCCGATCACGTTCGAGAATTGGAACGTCGGCGAACCAAATAATTTCCGGTAAGAGTGCTTTACGATCGCAAACAATTTACATTCTTTCTGATATTGATCGCAGAAATTCTGTCCTATCATTGCGATATGATTGGCATAAATCAGTTATTAAGATATTAAAACTCGTTTCCGGTGAAACGTGTTCTCATGGACTCTTTAATGGCAAAAGAAACTTAATTTTTGTGATTTCAGTGATTTCAAAAGAAACTTAAGTATTTTATTTGAGTAATTATAATATATTTATGTATTATATAATAATATGAAATTATTTTATGTATCCTTCTTCTTTGAAAACATAATTATAATACTTTCTTAAAAAAAAAAAATAAATAATAACAGATATTTCAATTTCTATAATGTATGCTAGTTATATTTTCAAAAATATATTATATATTAAATATATATTGGGAGTACAAATTAGTTCGGTTTTTTTGTGCATTTATTTCAAAACAAAATGAATGAACAGATCAATTAAAGTATTGTCCATCGCTGCCTATTACTTTTTCCCATCTCTCAGGCAATTTTCGAATTCCATCTCGAAAAAATGACTCGTCTTTGGAGGGGATCCAATTTTGAAGCCAATTTTCGATTTCTGCGAAAGAAGTGAACCGGTGACTTACTGTTCCTTCGGAACAACCAGTAATCAGAAGGAGCAATGTCCGGAGAATACGGCGGATGCGGTAAAACATTCCATTTGAACGTCCAAATATTGTTTTATGACTTTAGCGACATGAGGCCGAGCGTTGTCATGAAGAAGAATAACTTTATCATGTCTTTGCTCGTATTCCGGCCGTTTTTCTCACAATGCACGGCTCAAACGAATCAATTAGTAGTTGATATCGATCGCCCGTAATGGAATCGCCATTCAATAGCTCATAGTAAACAAGACCCTTTTGGTCCCACCAGATACAGAGCATGATCTTCGAACCATGAATGTTTGGTCGTGGTGTTAATGTTGAGGTCAATGGCAACGATTGACCGGGCTTAACGTAGTATTTTTTCTTCTTGGAGTTGTAGAACATCCACTTCTCATCTCCAGTCACAATCCGATGCAAAAAAACCTTTTTTCTGTTGTCTTTGAATCAGCTATTCGCAAGTGAAAAATCATCTTTCAACGTCTCTCGGTTTCAGTTCATAAGGCACCCAATTTCCTTGTTTTTAAATCATTCCCATGGCTCTCAATCGTACAGAAACGGCTTGTTGAGTTACCTCCCAATGATTCTGCAAGCTCCTCTTGCGTTTGACTCTGATCTTCTTCGAATAATGCCTCTTTCAAAATTCTTTGTCTTCGAATTTTTTTGGCTGTCCAGAGCGAGGCTTGTCTTCAACGCTGAAATCTCCATTCTTGAAACATCGAAAGCATTCCGTACATGATTTATCAGTTGGAGCAGTGTCACCATAACTTCGATAAGCATGCGATGGACTTCAGCCGCACTTTTCTTTCAATTAAAGCAGAAAATCAAAATCTCCTGCAAATGCTGCTTGATTAACACAAAATTCGACATTTCAAACACAGTAAAAATCAAGATTTTTGTATGAAATTCAAAGCGATAAAAATTGAATATTATTAGCAGATGTTTAACCTCTCTGAAACCGCCAAAATCAGCTGTCACTATGAACCATTCACAACAGCTGGAGCTATTTTTAGGGAAACGGACCGAACTAATTTGTACTCCCAATATATTAAAAATTATAATGATTATGTCTTATAATACTTTATACATTACAAATTTCCGAAATTTAAAAAATAAATATATATAAGGGGAGATGCAATTTTGATTTTTTAAGGTTGATATCAAATATATCAAATACGTTATTATATAACTTATTTCTTTATGCATTTTGTTACTTAAAATAATGTGGATAATTTCATTTAATCTTCTCATTTTCTTTCAGATACGAGAATGGCGAAGAGGAACATTGCCTGGAGCTCTGGAACAGAGATGGCAAAGGGCTCAAATGGAATGACAGTCCTTGCAGCTTCGAGACTTTCTTCGTCTGTGAAGTACAATGATCAAGAAAGGCTGAAAGAAGGGACTAAATGCACGAAAATATTTATGTGCAAATATCAGTTTATGGCGTGTCCTCAAGATGATCTTCAAGGAAACTGCGTGTGACATTCTCGGCCGTTCATTCGTTTCAGTGAACTTAGTGAGGTAGAGAGACTTGACATGTGCGCTCGGACTGAAAATGATGCGTGATTAGCCAGTCGCTACCATTGTTATGTTTTATACGTCCAGAATTCACGAGTATGTACACAAAACGACAATTAATTCAGTCAGTTCTTTTTGTAAAAGAATCACCAAGCGATCGAACGTTGATTAAATCTGCAATGTCGGATGATAAAAATGGTTTATTTATATTTGCTTTATGTGCAGAGGCAGTTCCACACAGAATATTTGACATTAAATTATGCAATGTATTTAAATTTTTACGTATTTAAAAAGTCTTGTTTTAAATTTAAACAGCAATAGACAATTAACATTTTTATTCTTACAATAAAAGTCGATACGTAGTCAAATTTTAAAACGAGAAAATCTCTTAACGGCATACATCACAACGCAAGATGTTCATTTTTTCATCGTATAACAATTAGAAAATAACAATTAGAAGATTTTTATTCTTAAAAAGAGGAAGCATAAACTACAGAAATTTTTTATATGTTTATATTTTAAGTAATTATATATAAATCTTAGATACGTATAATGATCGATATATTTTACATATTTTTTTATTGTTTATCTTTTTAAAAATCTAGTTTTACCTCAGCTTATTAGAGAAGATCTTATAAGTTATTGCGAAATTTTACAAGACGACGCGTGAAATTTTTATTTACGCGCAATCGAAAAATCGATTGATTGATATTTCTGTAGCATATTTATGCTATAGATGTGCTATTCATTTTGTTAATTTGATGTAAAAAAAGGGGAATGAAAAAGACAATATTAAATATGCCTATGCATATGTTAATATTGTCGTAAATTATTTCTATATTTATATATTATATGAATTCATTATTATACAATATCAGATTATCGTAAAATGGCTTATGTATGCCATGATGATTGCTTCTCGATTCTTCGATTATGGCGAATTTTGAAAGTTTCTGACGCATGGTGATATCATATCATATATCTTGATTAACTAATTTTCTAATGAAACTCAGATTGATATGTATTACCAAGACTCTACCGTGTCTTCAGATAGAAACATTAAAACATTTGTACTTATTAAATAGCCATTGCATGCACAATGAATTATTTTGACGCATGTATATATCTTTATTATGCAAGTATATCTTGCACATATATTTTTATTATTAAGTTAAATTAGACAATTTTTTAGCTATTGAAGGAACGATTGAACTAATTTATCGATGTTACATACGAAATAGTTAATTAAATCGAATGAATTTGTCAACATTTATTAATTTCGAATGTGTGCTAACTTTACTCTTACTTTAGTATATCTTAACATATTATGCAAACATCGTACATAATATGCATGTATATGTAAACTGTATATATTTATATCGCACACTAGATAATGATTGCTACAAGTAATATTGTTAGTAGTACGAATTAACCAAAAGATTCTCTCGTGATGCTACAATGTTTGTAAGAAATGCAATTGTTTAGTTACTGACATTGTCAATTGAGTCAATTTCAGTAAAACATTTTATCAGCAGCTGTTATTGATTCGATAATTTTAATCATTTATAAAAATAAGAAAGTATTAAATTTTGGATATTTAAAATAATAGTGTTTTTATCATGTCATTTTAATTTTTGACGTAATTTAAAAAGGAATTTGAATTTCAAATCCTATAATTAAAAAATCGGATATTCTACTCCTTACACTCTTTTTTAGCGTGATGCACTTGAATCTCCAATTTTACTGTTATAATTGATAACGATGCTTGCATGCGTTGTTGAATGAAAATATCGCTTATTCAGCGTAACGGTCACGATCTGCGTTAATTAGGTCATAGTATAAATGAGCATCGTGATAGATTTGGACAATAGTTAGCCTTCGTAGTAAATGAAACGAGGGTTCATCGTTGTACTCTATATATTCTATGTATTCACCATCAGAAATTACAAAGAACGGTGTTGTACATGGCATTATTTAGCACTAAATAATAAAATCAAAATTATTCTTTGATTTTCTGATTTATTAAAACATGCTACATTTATATACATTTACATCATTTTTGTATTTTTATATTAATTTCTGTATTTTTATATTAATTTAATTCCTGAAATCTGGTACTGAATTGTGTGTAATGATGCGTTCCGTTAATTAATTAATTCGTTTATCACATTTTCTGATAAATTCAACGATAGATATATTACTATTACATTTTCGAACAGAAAGTATATGATTTACAATTCTTTGTTATTACTCGTTATATACATCAAATTAAAATAATAATTATTTTAATTATTTCAATAATTAATGGGTACAATCTAATTGTTATACACTTTTCTAACTTATTTTGTATTCTGTTTAACTTTTGCATTAAAGTAATAATAATAATTCTTATTTTTTAATTATATTTTTAT